TTTTCATTCTCTTAATTTCTGCCCCGATTTCATCTTTGATCTCCTCTTTGATTTCCTCATTTCCTTCCTGATTTTGTATTATCTCTGTCTCGATGGTTCCTATCTTTTCTTCACGAGACTCGCCACACAGCAAAGTTCTTTCTTTAAGCCTTCTGCATTTTCTAGAAGTTCTTCCTTCAAACTATTCGAATTCTCTAGAAATTTATCTTCCAAGCGTTTCGAATTTTCCAGAAGCTTCTCTTCCAGGCACTTCGAATTTTCCAGAAGTTCATCTTGCAGCGATTTGGTATTCTCATCGAGTTTGCTCATTATTGAACTCAAATCATCCTCAGAAACTTCGAATAAATGTTTCGGGATCTTCTCCTGACTCGGTCAAGTTATCCCACAGTCTGATTCCTTTCCAGAACAATCTAGCTTCCTCTCTTCTAATTCTCGCTTGAATTCGGCGACTTTCAAGTCCACTAGGCGCACTTTCTTTGAACACATTTTCCATAAAACGGTATATGTCCACTTATTTCAATCGAGTAGACTTTCACAAGTCTACTTTTCGCGAGAATGGTCTATCAGTTCCGTAGCCCGGTACTGTCCACTTCGCGAAACACAACGAATCATTTGTCCACCAAGCGCTCACAGATTAATTTTACAAATCCACTTCTGATCACCACTTGTGACGAATTAAAGAATTAACTGTCTAAAACAAATTTATTTCCAACAATATTTCACTAATCATAAACTAATTTATTTATTACAACACAACTAATGCTTAATTTATTTCCACCATTTGAATTTCTTGTTTAGCCGCTCGATTCACTTTCTGCACTGCCCTCTTGGGTCGGAAAGACGGGCTTATATCGGTAACGGTCTTTTCAAGAATTCTGTAGTCGGTTCGGCACTAGAATTTTACCGGCGACTACCGACTGCGTTCTTTCGCGGTGATGTCATGTGTTTGTTCCATGAGTCGGCCGGCGTATTGGTCAGGGGCGGCTTCAGAATGAATATGTGAACGAAGAAAATTGTCAAATTTAGAACGATACCATGATATCTTTTCAAAAAATCATGCTATCGTAAAAATGTACCCCTTTCAATTTAAACCAGATTCCTATGGCTGGGATTAAGTCAAATGAATGTCATCGATGACATGAGTAGATTCCACCACTCTGAGGATGACGGTGTTCCACATAAGTGAAATTTTATCTCTTATAAACTGTGTACCGATTCTGTGAAAGTTACTTCTTTGAGAGATCTACACAATAATTCATTATTAAATCGGCAAATAAGTGAACAAATTTCATTGTGGAATATTGAGTCGTAAATTATTTGTACAGTTTGTCAATAATAGGAAAAAGTTTCAAAATCTTAATTTGAGACCGACTTAGCTGTGCGCAGAAGACAGGAGCCCAGTCAGTCGAATTTGTCTGTTGTGAAGTGAGCATCGCGGGTTAACCGAGTGTACAGTCCAAGCAGAAATAAAGCGTAAAGGGTACAATTTGAGTATTGTAACTCAACCAGGATGGAGTTTAATCAAACCTAAATCGTAAAGTGCTGATAAGTCAAATGTTATAGCCAATGTAATTTTTTTATGCAACGAGACGCGGCAGAAAATAAACCTATAAAAGACTTATAACTATGCTGGTTCCTACGGAAGCTTGAGAAAAGTTATGCGTGACATGGGATTTCGTTGGAGGAAAACGAAAAATAGTCGAAAATTATTAATGGAAAAGCGAGAAGCGAGAAGAAAAGCCATAGTTTTCATGGACGAAACCTATATTCATTCCTCGCATACCCACATAAAAACCTGGAATGACAACACTAGTGAAGGTTCACATACACCAGTATCAAAAGGGCAAAGACTAATAATAGGCAGTGAAAATGGTTTTGTGAAAAATGCTAATTTGAGATTTAGATCAAATACGAAGTCAGCTGATTATCATAACGAGATGAACTTCGCGAATTATATAAAATGGCTACAGGAGATGCTTATTCAGAGTTTACCACCAAAGGGTGTCTTAGTGAAAGACAATGTTCCCTATCACAATGCGCAGGTAAATAAGTCTCCTACTTCATGTAATAGAAAGATTGAAATGATGGAATGGCTAAGGCAACGAAAAATACCTTTTAAAGAAGATATGTTAAAAATTTATTTGTATAGTCTAATTAAAATTCATAAACCGCGATATAAAATGTATAAAACTGATGAAATTATGAGCGTCTAGCATACCACCCTGATTTAAATCCTATAGAATTAGTGTGGGCGTCGTTAAAGCAATATGTTGCACAAATAAATGTAGATTTTAGCTTAAAGACCGTGGAAAGATTATGCGATGAATTTTTTAGTATGTTTTCTGAGTGGAAAAAACGATGTGAGTATGCTCAAAGTTTTGAACAGTTTTTCATGGAAAAGGAACCAACATTAGATTTCATGGTAGACGACATGATAATCAACTTGCAAGAAGATAGTGACACTGAACCAAATTAATATCAGTTCAGACCTTAGCGAAGATTCATCCTTCGAAGAATAAGATAAAATATTTTTTCATTTGAATTTTTGCGTTTTTATAATTTTATAATTTTTTGGTTTGTATTGTTAGAAATTTTTCGCCGTATTTTGCGTTCAATTCAAGTATGAAAAATATACATATTTGAAAGTAAAATGAAAGCAACCTTCTAATTCAAAGCAAGTTTTATTTATAGTCCGGTCAAATTAGACTAAAAAAATAAGAGTGAAGGTACATACATTTACAACAAGCGGCAAATGCGTGTAATTGTTCAAAACATAGTT